AACTGTTGGATATCTCGTTTTGGCTGCTCATCGATCATAAAAGGTTCTCAAATGAGATCCGCAATTTTTTAAGAATTTACGCGCATTTTGGGTACGAACAGAATCACAACAGCCTATCATTTAATGTCCAACGGCATTGTTGAACGATTTCATCGACATTTAAAATCTTTCAAGGCTCACGAGACCAATAACTGGATGAAAACACTACCAGTTGTTATGCTTGGTATTCGGACAGCCGTAAAGGAAGATCAAAGTCATCTTGTGCTGAACTGGTGTACGGCCAACTCTCAAGCTGCTAGTGATATGATAACGTCATCTAAGATATCTCCGTAGACACACAATTTATCACGAATCTTAGGCATAGAATGCAACAATGAATCCAATAGCAACATCTGCACATTGCCAAGAAAAGTGTTACGTAAATGCTATCTTAAAGTCGTGTACGCATGTATACTTATGTGTCGATCGAGTAAAGCCCACCTCTGTGCCAACCATACACAGGTCCACATAAAGTCCTTTCTAGAATGGACAAAACTTTCACAATTCATATTAACGGTCTGAAATTCTACTGTGTCTACAGACCGTGTGAAATCAGCTTATTTGCTTTTGGACTCTAATTGCCTGAACTGAAAACAAATAAAGACTTAAAGCAGCAGAATAAATCTGCAAATGAACTCTCTAAGACACAAACTGTCACCAGATCGGGAAGACATGTTCACTTCCCTAAGAAACTTCCTTCTTACAAACAATTTTAAAACATTTTTTTAAATTCATATCTTAACAGATTTCTTGTTCGTGTTTATTATATGTGTCAATACCTTGTATATATGAATTTCATTTTGATCTTTTCTAATTTATATTCTAATTTTGTAATCATGTAAAAATACCCGACAGTTTCGGATACCTGAGATAATTTCATAACCTATGTCGTTCCTTTGAATAGCCATTAAAGGAACTGGGGGGAAACTCTGTGGTGATGGCGATAAGGAGCGCGCCTTGCGCCCTCCGATAAGTGTGGGCAACCCTATGGAGAAGTTTCTTACGAGTAGCGGCAGAGCGAAACAGGCAGGCTGTCGGGCAGTGTGCGCGAAAGTTCCGAAATAAGCTTAATTTTTATTGTGCACTATGTCTTGTTAATATTTATATTAATACAGTAAGAACATAATCTGTGAGATGGAATTCGAGGATTGGTGGTAAAACATAACAGGAAATCACCATACCACAAAAAACGAAGCAACTTAAACAACTTACATTGAAGGAAATGTTTAATAATGTAAACAAATAAATATTAAGCTTTAAGAATTAAAAAATGACCCACCCCCAAGTAAAAATATGCAAAAAAGTTAATTACATATTTTTGAAAATGAATCCTTTATGAAAATTAAAACAACAACTTACACAGTTTCTCAAACAACAATTCTCAATCTTAACAAAGGTGTAGCAAAATAAACAACGCTCATTTCCAGCTAGTACAATACTTAAATGAGATAAGATTTATCTCTTGCACGTAATATCAAAACCAATAATCAAAATAACAATATATAAGGAGTTAAGGAATGAGTTATTACCCCTCATAAATGCATAAGCAATGAAGAATTAAAGCACTGAAAAATACGGTACAATAAAACAATGTCTGTTACATCGTATCATAAGACCTATAAACTTTTTACATGGCAATCAAAAATCTATTTTCAGCTGATCTTTAGAATATGGTAACTGGTAGTTTGGCGACATTTTGGAGGCGATAAAGGTTACTACCTGGGACTTTGGTAATAATGTGAGCAGTACTCAGTTCCGATTACGCATTTTGTGCGAGGGAAATGAGAGATCATGGGATATGTCATGTGATATTAATGGACGAATTACGGTTCTTTAATCGGAAAAGGGGGGGGGAAATCTGGAAATTTTCTATTTAGCTTTATTCTGTGTGTGTGAAACGTGTTGGTTAATTTTGGATCCCATGGCCCTAACTAAAGTGAATTCGAAATGGGTATTTAGTGGATTGAAAGGGGTAGTAATAAGTTTTTTTAAGGTTGTGCGATATAGAAGTAAAGATGTTTTATCAAGTTATTTATTTTACCTGGTACCTTGCTGTGAACAACTATAAGTACGATTTTAAAGATCCTGAAACAGGCGCGCATACGCTTGCTTTTTATTTAGCGGAAGAAATAAGAAAGGTTTATCGGCCACGTAATCAAGATTCTGAAGAAGATTAGGTAAGTTAGTATTTTTAATTATTTGAGGATATTATTTTTATGGTATTATTGGAAAATTGTTATTAGCAATGATTTAGAGCTAATTTTTATTAATTTAATGTAGGTGCTTATTATATTTAGTAGTGTTTTTGAATTTAATTATTTTAATAAATGATAATCATTTTGTGAATTATATGTTTGTAGGAATTTGGTATGCGCTTCAATGAAAGTAAAGGTGCATGGAATAATTAAATTTGACACTAAGTATTTGTAACCATTGTAATTTTTGAGGTATGAATTCGTTGGCGACGTTTATAATATAATAGATAATTTAGAGGTAAAAGTTTTTGGATATTTTATTATTTTATACCTTAAAAATGTTCATATTTGGAAGGGTATATACTTTTTCGTTATTAGGTAATTTCATATATGTTCTTTTTAACGGGTTTAAAGATTCAGAAAATTGTCATATTTTCGTGAATTTTTTTTAATTTATGAGAAAAAAGCAGTGTACATGGATATAGTGAAGAGTGTGCCATTTTTGTGTAATTCTGGGATGTTTTTTTAAGTAAAAATAAGTCAACGTGTACATGGTTTATGAGTATGTTATTTTGAAAAACGCGTAAGGAGTATGGTATTGTGCACTTTTCCCCAATTTTGCAGTGATATTGTCATGATTAAGCAGCTTTGTTAGATAAAATTTCTAGTATAAGTGTAATTCGGCTAGTAGATTGTTGGAAGAAGTGTTCGTAGATAAAAGAAAAGAAACATGTCTTACTTCGTGAAGACAAAATGGGTGGCGGGAAGAAAAAAAATAGAGGGTTGCTGTAGGAGAGTTGGTCGCCAAATTTTCGCCAAAAAATCGCCAAGTTACCATAATGTAAAGATCAACCTAATTTTCTCAATAAACATTAAGCTTTCTTTTTTTTTTTCTGTAAATTTTGATATCTTTTAGATCATAAATTCTTCACGATTTCATACATTTAATTTTATAATTTCTACAATGCCATCTTGCTATTTAAAATGATGATTTAATATCAGAATCGGCAAAGTTCCAACGATTCCAGATCTCGGACTTTGTACTATACAGAAAATGCAAATTTTAACTGAAGAAAATATTTAAAACATCCTTTTCTATGATATGCTTCAATTTTTTCCTTTTCCGTACAATATTAATCATCCCTTAATTAAAATTTTAATACATTCTTGAATTACTGTTTTGAGAATAATGAAAAATCATTACTTATCAAATTATAATTTTACTGTTATTAATTTTAAAATTAAAAATAGTAGATTACTACATGAAAATATAATTTAAAATACACTCACAGGTTTTAAGACACGTCTTATTTCACTCAAAACAGACTGGACATCCTCTACAGAACAAAGGACATATGTAGAAATCACAATATCAATGCTAGAATCTTCTACTTCATGCATGTTTTCAGCCATACATGTGATTAATCTTTCAAATTTTACTTGAGGATATTTCTTTTGGTTTTTGTAGAAATACTCTTTAAATGAAGCATTCATATCTACAGCAGTTAAAGATGAGTTTTCAGGATAATAGGGCAGGTTTGCCCCAGAACCAATCCCAATTTCCAATATCTTCAGAGGCTTTGATTTATCTCGATCAGATATATTTTTTTTTAAATGTTCGAAGCATTCCTTTCGGTATCGTGTCATCAGAGGTTCGAAAAAAGGAGCCAGGATATTAACAAAGATGAATGAAAACCATCTATTTTGAAATGCCTTCCAATATTTTAAGAGAAGTACAAATGGCAGCAGTATAGTCAAAGATGCTATCCACCACAAAATACTCAAAGTAACAAATATGAAGAATCCCATCTCTCAAGAAGTTTCAAAATCTCTTTTCTAAAAGATAAAAAATAATTAATTTTAATTGAACTCCAAAAAATCATAAAAACATAAATCTTCATATTAAACTACTATCTTAAGTTGATGTCACTGATTAGAAACTTGAAAAGCATTAAAAAAATATTTTCACAAACAATAACAATAAATACTACTTTTCCGTTTTGCCGTTGCAGGTGATAAAATTGCCAATAATGGTACAACTGATGCCAAAAGGAATATCCTTGGTCAACCTTTTATTCCTCATTTTCAAAACAAGTCCTTTTACGCCTCATTTCAAAACAAGTCGCAGCCATTTTTTATCAAATTGATTGTTTCTTTCAATACTGACATACAACTACATAGAATTTTTACCACATAATTCAATTTTATGCCTTAAGACCATTTGCGGTAATTAAGTCAATTAGGATGTAATCACGCCGCTCACCTGAAGGCAAAAAATATACAAAAGGCTTAAATTCAAGTCAAGGGTTAAATTCATCAATTCTAATGAGAATGCACTAGTGAAATAAAGCACCGGGGTTTTACATAATTTTTGAGTAAGCTATTTGTATGAATTTGAAATAATTCTTGCATTTAAACTTGTATTCCAAATTAAGATTTAACTTGAAATTAACATAGATAATTACTGAGAGAATTAGATTTTTGTAGCGTAGTTTACACGAGATCACTTGGGGTCATGTGATACGAACTGACGAATCAGGATGTTGAACCATGAAAGCATAGTATATTCTTAAACTAATGTTATTTTACAAATTTATTGTCTTTATTTATTGGCTTTTTACAAAATTAGACGATATTAAAATGTTTATGCCTTCAAAATAAAAAAATTCTTAGAACTAACATTTGTTAACATTTTTTATATGTATACTGTACGTTGAAGCCAATAAAGTCTTCTTGGAAAAATTTGCGCCAATGAAACGGAAAAGTACCCAATAAATTAATCAGACTGCATTCAACTTCCATAATTTCTATGCATTTCATACTTCACATATACTGACATAAATTTCAATGTATGTCTGAAGAAAACCTATGTGTTCATATATTTAAAAAAATTCTAAGAATTAAAATTTCTTTGTCTTGAATTTGCAGAAATAGGAGAAAAATACAGTTACAGTATCTACTAATACAGAATATATATTAGATGTCGATTTAATTAATAAATAAAAGCATTTTTGGCACATTTCAACAAAACGATTATACAAACAGTCACTAACTTTCTCGGTATAACTGTTTTAAAGCCAGATTAATTTGAGAAATGATGAATTAGAATTGGAAGTTGAATGCGACTGCTAAACAGTGGTGAGCTACAGGGGGCTCCTATGGGCCTCTTATTTAATTTGTGTCTAATTTGCAAGCCCTTTGTTCTTTTTATTTGAATACATACTAGTACTTGTATTAAACACACATTTTGCCTGCAGAACTAAATGAAAATTCATATGGATTTTCAGGAAACTATCTGGAAAAACATTTAGCTGCATTTTGCTTTGATGAAACGAGTTTAATACTGAGAAGGAAATGAGGAGTTGAAATCAAAATTCTAAACATTTTTTATAATATTATAATCTAGCATTGTTTATCTTATCACTTTAAATCACCATTAGATAATTTGATTAAAAAACACAATGTATTGAAAGTTAAATGTATTTCTTGATAAATGATATGCTTTTTTCACTAACACCCTTTCCTCAAATCAATAAGAATGAAATGCTATTAGCTTTTGCTAAAATTTTCATAGCTCAACATTGCTGCTAAGTCGATTTATAGTATCACACTCAATATTAAGAAAACTTATTTATGTTTAGAATAATTTACATTGTTAGAGTGTATACCATTTCAATACAATTCTGTTAGAGTGGCATCAGTTAAAAATGTGCCAAAAACTGCACCAGATATTGTGGCTAAAGAATTAAATTTGAAATCATGGCACAAGATTTTCAGTTTTCATTTGAAATACCATCACTCATTACTGAATATTTTTTTAGATTTTGTTCTTTTAAATAAGACAGATTGCACAATTTTGCAATTACCCAATGATGAAGAGGCTGCTCTAAGACTGTTTTTGACAAAGGAATAATTCATAGCAATAGATTTTACTCTCAAAATCATCCGATGAAGTTAACTGTTGATTCAAAGAAATCCTATATGTCACCGTTACGTACATTCTCGCTGTAAAAAAAAAGGTTTGAAACCAAAACATGGTTTGAAGGCTTGTGTCTTTCCTCAATGCCATTCCTTTTATCTACCTGTGGTATCGGGAGTTGCCATCGAATGTTGCTGTTGATGTCTGATAAAATAAATAAAATGGCAAGAGCCAAAAAAATCATGGAAATAGATGAGACTTCAAAAAAGGGGAAGCAGAAAACATATATATATATATATTGGGTGGGTCCTTCCAGAATAGTGAGTATTCAGGGGTTTATGCCACGAATCCAAAGAATGTTTCCTAGTCGCAATTCCAGATTCTGTGCTAGAACATTGATGACTGCCATTTAGGAAAACATTTAACTGAAGAATTGAATTGAATTTTGCCATTTAGGAAACATTTAACTGAAGAAATAATTGAAGAACATTTAACTGAAGAAAATTTTAATTGAAGAAATATGGCAGCATTATATTTTCAGATGGCTACAAAGGATATAAGAAAGAGGAATAAGGAAATGCTGGCTTTGAACATTTAAATGTGCATCACAGTTATAATTTTGTAGATCACAAAACTGAATGCCTTACTCAAATTGTGGGGCAGTGTTAAATGGTGAAATAAACAACAGCGGGGCATTGCTCAGCACAATTTAGATTAACATTTGATAAAATTTTATGCGACATCGGTTAAATAGAAAAATTTCAATTTTTTCTGCAACACTGAATGATATTTTTGTAATTTTATACCACCTCTTTAGACTGATTTTTCATTTTGTTTTCATTTCATTTTTCATATCAGACTGGCAAAAGATGGATTCTTCAGTGTTACAATATTCTACTTCAACCTATCAATGCTTTTCATAGCTAATTCATTTAACATTGCACACTGTGGCTTTATCATTCGGGTACATAGTGCTTTAATAAAATGGATTTGTTTGAAATTTTCTTACTTCCTCACTAGTCCCTGTACCCTATAAGACACTGTTTTCAGACTTCTTTGTCTGCACTGAACTTCAAACAAGCAGAACTTCCTTAACTTAAGGTTACAAAAACAACTTATGAAGCATATGAATGAGTGAGGGTTCCTTCCCAAATATCAGATAATAGGAAGTGGAAAAAATCATGAAATGTTTCTCAACATTACCAAACATTAACAGTGTTTGAATGGAAAGAAAGTGATACCTACAGGCAGAAGAAAAAGCAAAAGCATTGGTCATGATTATAACAGTGAAATGGCATGCAAAATGTCAAAAATCCCAAGCAAAAAGATTTAAGCTTGAAAGGAAAGAATGAATTGTTAAAAGATTTTGATCTTGTTTACTGTAGATAGGAGAAAAAATACAATTAAATTAGGAATTTGCTTAAACAAGGAATCATAATTAACAAAGAACGAAGAAAAAATGCAAATGTTTCAAGTAAATGCAAAAAAGACAGCTACTCTAGGGTTTAATTTACTGAACGCTAGGACAGAATTTGTACCAACTGACAAATGGCTCATAAATTGGAGTAAGAGAAGTCCAACATTGTTTATTGGAAACTGCATGGTGAAAAGAAAGAGGCAGGTCATCATGTGGCTAATATCTGGATAAAAGACTTTCAACATGGGATGTTAAATGAATACAAGCCACACGAAATCTATAATACATGTAAAACTGGATAGAGTTACAAAACACACATTAATATTTCAGAGAAAAATAGCAGCTGGTTTAACCGGACTGTGTTACAGAACACATTAATATTTATGAAAACATGATCAACTGAAAACATTATTAACTGTGTTAATGTGCATTATGGAGCCAATAATTAAGAAGATAACATTACTTATTAACAAAACAAGAAAACATCAATGTATGAATGGTGCCAAAAATTTACCTCTACTTACTACAGCAACAAGAATTGATCAATGGCAAATAGTATTTTTACCGATTTTCTTTCGAAATAAGACAGCGAACTGAAAAATGAAAAAATAACTTTACTAATTAGATAACTGTGCAGCACACACACATCTGATCTTCTTTCTAAAAAGCATTAGCAAAGGAAGCCTGCATAGAAGTTGCAAAATACAACTTCTAATATTAAGCCAAGTTATTATAAAAGCTTTCAAATGTAATTACAGGTATAGCTTGAAGCAGGGCCAGCACCTATGTATTTCTGTAAGCATATTAAGCATTGCCGGACCTTGCTAACTATTAAGCTTTTGCCCCAATCTTAAGGAAGAACACACTGGGAAGGATGCAGTTCAATGGTTTCCTATTCCTTACCACAAACTTCTCACTGCTTGCAGACACTGGAAGCTTACAAACAACCACGTTTTCTCAGGGGTTTAAACCCAGGCAGTCACCGTCACTAATCACTATACTGACTAGGGAGCCAACTATCATTACATAGAAGACGAATGATGAACAGAATTGAATTCTGTGAAAATGCAAGCACGCCTAAAGAGATAAGTAAGTCAATATCTGTGCTAGAGGCCATTACAGTCAATGCAGAGTGTTAATCTCTTACAATTAATTAAAAACTGTTTTTCAAGATGTGACTTTTATATAAAAGATTTCTCTCAGGAACTGCAAGCTACAGCTAATACATCAGTGAGGCATATTAACCCAGCGGAAGTCGCACCAAGAAAAGTTACTAGAGTGGGCACGTGGGGTATTACATACCCCAATATTTAAAATACAATAAAAATAGTATTTAGTTTTAAAACTTTTTTTTTTGTTGCTGTTCTCGTGTATTATAAATAATGATAATAATTGGGTTTCAAAAAATTAATTTCCAAAATAATCTTAAAATAAGATAAATGAAATAATAAAAAATAAACATCTGCTCTAAGTTTCATTGCATCTCTAATACCTATGCTT